GTGAGAATTAAATTTCATCTTGTTCGTGTACAAATATTAAATGTTTGCTTTTTATTTCTCATATCTGTGCGCCGCTGGATTCGACATTTCCTTGTTTACAGCGCCATCTGCTGTGATTGGTCCGCTAAAGAGCGCACGCGGAGAGAAAAAAGAACAGGGTACGTTCGATTAATATTACCGCGCGCAGCTGCCGCTCACTTAGCGTGCCGCATTACGTCGACACTGAAAATCTCGGGGCGACGATCGATAAACCGAACACACAAACAGAGCAGGCTGCTGAGCTAACGGTGTTACAGTTTTTCTCGATTGTTTACACACATTTTCTGAAAGCATGCCTCATACTCTCAGAACTCTACACACAAATCAAAAAACACACTCACAATGGGCAAAACCCCCCAATTCTCCTGCAAAATGAAACTTTACATTCAAAACAATGTTATTTCTTCTCAAAATGGTATTTTGTTTTCAAATGACACACAAACCATCATATGAATAGACATTTATAAGAACCAGTTGAACACTGATGTGCTCAATCTAAAACACTATGATGAACACTTCTTCTCCATTCAACATAATTACTTGGGCCTTTTTTTGTTCAGTGTTACACTACAGACAGTACATACATAAGTGTGTTGTAAAATGTTTTAGAATATTGTTTTTATACTCAGAACACACAAATACACGGTAACAAATATATTTTATTTTTCCCACAAAAACAATGTACACAGTGTACATTCCAACCAACACAAAGTTGCACATACAGTGGTCTACATACAAAACAACAGAAGAATTTACTGTATACAGTTACAGTAAAAAACAAAAACAAAACTATGCTGCATCCTCTCTTCTGTTTCGGTCTGGACACAGCACCTCATCCACATCACAAGCAATGTTTTCCCTGGCCAAGCAGCGGGGGAAATATTGCCTAGCATGGCAAATCCAGCCATGAAAAGCATCAACTGCTATATCTCCTCATGCGTCTTCCATAGCTTGGAGAAGGGGTATACGCATTTGTGGATTTTGGTCATACACTTTCCATCTCCAGGCCAAAAACGTGGCTCGGAACTCATCAGAGATTACGGTCCTTGGCCTTCCTCGTCCTCATCCTCCCCGTCCTCCTCCTCTTACTCTCGCTCCTCTGGCTCTGCCTCTGTTTCCAATGTTGGCATCCATTGCTCCAAAACAGAAAAGCCCACCTGTTGCCCTTTTATGCTAAAGCTCTGATTGCTAATTGTAAAACTGTGTGATAGGTGTTTGCCCATGTGATGAGTCAGTGTGCATAGTAGGGCAATTAACTTTAGAATTTTGAATGACAGTGTGTTCTTTGTGAAAACAAGAGATTTTCTTCATGAAAATTGTGCCAAATGCAGAGAATTGTGTGTAGTGTTTTGAAAAAAATGTGTTTTAGAACTGCAATTTGAGTGTAAAGCAGGAACTGTGCTTGTAGTTTAGCAGAATTGGTTCAGGGGGTTGGTGCATGAGTTACATGTTGTGGTCATTGTGTCTCAAGTACCAGTATTTGTGTGTAAACAACTGAGAAAAACTGTAATGAAAAGTACTGTGTGAATGTCATGGTGACAGTTTGTTATGACACATCTGGAGTCTTTACAGCAGGATTATAATGATATTATAATGGCTGTTGTTTAATCAGTGAGCTCACATATATTAGTGACTGGCCTCTGCAGACATAAAGCCTAGTTAGCATGCTGTTTTTATCATTTTTAGCTAACCAGTTGTTGGGGAATTTAGCTAAGTAGCCTACATTTGGCATACAAATGTGACATACTATACTATGCTATAACTGAGTATTACTATTTTCTGCCACTGTATACTTCTATTCCACTACATTTAAAGGAACAGTGTATGATTTAGGGGGATTTTGTGGCATCTAGCGGTGAGGATATTATACTGCAACCAGCTGAGACTTCTCCCAGTTAGAATTCCTTCAGTTTTCATTGTTCAGGAGGTTTTTACCAGGAGCCAAATTATCAGCAGAGGTCTCTTCCCATCCAAAACAAATGCATCAGGGACCGGTTGTACAAAACACCTTAAATTTTCTCCTTAACTGTGACACTTAAGGCTTAATTTCTCCTTAGCTGAGGGACTTACACAGATGCAAAGAATCCCTTCTAAGGTTTCCTTTGTTAAGGGAAAACATTAACTCACTTACTGTGCTGAAAGAAATTTTACAGTAGTAAAAGCTTCCATGGAGATTGTTTGTTTGCTTGGACTCACGCTTGTGATGCCTGTTATCGTCTCACAAAGTGGACTTAGTTAGATAGTGAAGAAATGGCAGAAGAGAAGACAATGAAACCATATTGGTCAGAGGAGAAAAAGATTATTCTTCTGGAGGAATACAATCATAGAAAGCACAAACTACAAAGTGAATTTAATCCCCAAATACCAGGAAACAGAAAAAGACTGTAGGAAGAAATTGCAATGAAAATGAATTCAGTCAAATCTAAAGTGTAAAATCAAAATCAAAGTTTTTTTTGTTTTGTTTTGGGTTTTTTTTTACCTTGCTTTGGTTGCTAAGGTCTTTTGTGCAACGCTCTACATATTTCTTAAGTATAAGACCAAGACAAGAAGAAAACCATAAATACTCAAGCAAACATTCAAAGGAAACCTTAAGGAGAAGACTTAATGGTGTTTGGTGCAACCGATTTTATTTTGATGAAACCTTACCAAGGACCTGAAGGAAACTCTTAACTTAAGGCACTTTATGCAGCCAATTAAAAACCTATAAAAACACTGAATAAAATATTATTAATTAATAAATAAATATAATATGATGCACAATTGTACTACAAATCCACCTGGTAGTATACATCTATAGTATCTAAACTTGACTCCAGACTTAGAAACAATAATGAAAATACCATTGCATTTATTTGTTATAGATGAAAACAGAGTAATATAGTATTCTGTAAAGTGAAAGAAGCCATTCTGAATCCATCATTCAGTTCATCGAGCCAATTAAATGACAGTGGCGACTTGAGGATACAACAGTGAAGAGAATTACAACTGAACTAATGTCCACCTTTTATTAAAAGCATCCTGATAAAAACATGTTCAGAACATGTTAATCAAGATTACCATGTTCATCAGTTTATTTTTTTTTAAATATGGGAAATGTCTGCTCATGTTGATATGTGTTCTACCAAATGTAAATAAAAGACAGATGTGCCAGTTAACAGGCTTCCATTATGGGCGAAGTGGTGACATCCAGCCCTACAGCAGTGGTTTCTACAGTCATCACCACGTCATCTTTTACTTCTTAAACTTTCCATCCCACAGCAAAAACCAGAGGGACTTTGCTGACAGCAGGCACACATTGCACTTTAACCAGGATGTCAACAACATGCTGCCTGACAGCTAAAAGAGACCATGCCTTATAAAGATCATCTCTGAGTGGTGCTTCAGCTGCATCCACATTAAGTCCGTCAGTAGAGAGGTGGTGCAGGAGATGGAGACTCTGTAAATCATCTAAATTTATTCAGCAGCCTTGTCCTCGATGTGAGTTAAAAAGGTTGATGTGTGTGTTTGTGGATATCCTGTCTTGGATATGAGACATGAGTAACCAGTCACCTTGGTGGCCCTGACACATCAAGTCGTCAGAGGCAAAGGGAAGTTTTCCATGATGTATCAAAAGTAGGTTGTAGAAGACCTTCCTCAGAGACTGGCTGTCTTGTTCTCAGGATAGGCAGTGCATTACATGGAAGGATGACTAAAACATTTCATTTGAAACTTGTACACACTTCACATGAAGGTGCAAGACTATTGGAAATCAGCGTGAAGAGTAATGGCTGCCAACTGACTCCAAACCATAAAAAATATTAATTTACGTAGATGTTTCCAAACTCGTTGGACTTCTGTCATTTCACCAGGCCTTAAGAGATTGAATTTTTCATTGGTGACGCTGACAGTAAATGCATTACTTGCACAAATGTTAATCATTTATCTCTACACCACCAAAGCTGACAGGTTCTGCTCCGACATATTTGGCTGTGAGTAGCCTTTCAGACACTACTGGGTGTTTAAAGTGAAGAAGCCAGTTGACATTTACAGTAACAATAAGGAGCTTGAGGAAAGAAAGTAGCTCAGCTTTGATGAGTTCGTGTCGAGCAACCATTTTTCCATGTCATGTCTTTGATAAGCTCTGTGCTATCGGACAATAACAGACAATGGACAGAAGAGACCTGAGCTTGTTTTTAACATCTGTTCACACCTGATAAGTCATAGAAAATTCCCAGGTGATGCAACAGTTAAACACATCACATGAGGTGTTTTAAGTTAGGCAGTTAGTATTCATGTAGACCCGTGTGTCATCTGCATAGCAACGGAAATTAATACTATGGTGACAGAGGATTGTGCCCAGGGGAATGAGGTAGATGATGAATAAAAAGTGGACCCAGTACTGACCCCTGGGGGACACCCAATATACCCTCCACTCATATATTGCATCCTGCTGGTCGCACATAATAGAGAAGTGTTGTTTTAGGGACCAGGTTCTTCTTTAATTTGACTTGAACAATACCAAAGACATTTTCGGGTTTGCCTCTGAGTTCCAATGGCAAAAGCACCATGTATGCAGAACAGTAACACAGATGGGACACAGGCCAGCTCCACTAGGTCAGTGGTTCCCTACTGATGGGTCACATGTCCATTCTGAATGGACCGCAAGTGACTTGCAAACATGTCAAGTTTGAGAAAAACACACTTTACTTTTAAGTACCGGTTCAGTTCCAGCTGTGGAACTTTTGTTGCACATCATATCCCCTTCTAGATCCAAAGCCACAACCTTGGAGTTATCCGTGACACCACCCTCTTGTTCCTGTCCTACGTCAACCACATCACCAAAGCAGCCTTCAAAACCTTGCCCCCCTCTGACCCTCACTGTCACTACTGCAGAAACACTCAACCATGCATTGATAACATGTAACAAGTTCTTTCCAAATAGCATCGTATGATATAGAAATATATGACATGACACATAAAAGTGAAACTTCGTATGTGCTTGATTTATTCACTGATTTGTCAACATGAAGTGTAAAAATGTCATTAACACTGTATTTTTTGGCACTTTGGGATGTACATGAGATAATCATGTCATCTACAGTATAGGACCTGAGATCATTTATTAAACTTAAAAGATCAGAAGAATATTATACATGGATTTATCAAAAATCTTTTTACAAGTTAGTGCACGTGATGTCTGCTACAGTCGAGTGTTTCAACTTATCGTCAATAGTGGATTTATGTTCTTAACAGCTGTAATAAAATGTAATATGTTTACTGATTAAAAGTTTAAATTGTAATTGCTGGGTGATTTGTCTTTCTTGCTGGTTTATTTGGCAGAAGAGGCTCATGTGGTGTCTACATTCATTATTAACAAACTACCTGTTCTATTCTGCTCTGTGTGGTCTGTACTGATCAGTAGTATTTAATTTTTGGGAGGACGCACAACATTTCAAAAAGGAGGTTGGCACCAGTCAGTGCAGTGTTCCCTGTTGAGGAAAAAGATACATATATAAAGAATGGTTGTAAAACGAAAATGTACATTTAAAAATAGTTTAATGTAAAATAAAGTGTGAAAAGTACCTGTGGTGTCGTAGGGTGGAGAAACCTCCACCAGATCACATCCAACAAGGTTCAGACCACGGCAGCCTCGAATAATCTCAACTCCCTAAATCCAACAAGACAACAGAAATATATTCACACAGGTCAGAAGTTAAATAAAACAAAAAAATTCAATTGTATTTAAACAAGAGCCTCCTACTGTACACAGACATTACACTGCTTGTGCAGTCAATAAATTATTTACTTATGATAACAGTGTCCTCAGAATAAAGTCACAGAGGATAGTTGAGAGGGATTAAAGTCTGTTTCAGTGTTGACCTGTATAGGAGTGAGGCCTGCTATCTCTGGTGTGCCTGTTCCAGGTGCGAAACCCGGGTCAAGAGCGTCGATGTCGAAGCTGAGATACACTGGACCTTTTCCCATCTGAGCTCGGACCTCAGCCATCAGAGGAGCGAGAGATTTGAACCAGCACTCCTCCGCTTGTACCACACGGAAACCCTGCACAACATACAAAGACAATCACTGTTTTTTGCTTAAATGGTTAACGACATGCAACACAGCTGTGCTCCATTGACTCTGATGCAATCGTTTCAGATTTCCTTCATTTTCAGGCTGGTAATAAGATTATGAGGTTTCTTTTCCTGTTACCATGACAACAAGATGTACCACATATCATTTACCATGCCAGTGATGACACATAATGACATTAATGAACTGATAACTGTAACTTCAGACACATTAAAACCAGAATGTTTGCCTTCTTCTGCCTCATGTTTTCACCAACACTTCCAGTATTGTAGCAGAGGTACCTGCGCCCGGCTCCACTCGTATGAATCTGCAGAGTAGCCTGTACCACGCAGGCCGATCTGAACCACTCTCTTGCAGTCCAGCAGCCCCTCCTCCACACAGCGTCTGAACGGAGTCCCGTGTCCAATCTTCTCCCCCAGGACCACATCACTGGTGTCAGTATGAGCATCCACATGGACCAGACCCACTGGGCCATATCTGACGGATTCATACAGAACAAGAACACAGGGTGTGAAATTGTTAAGAGGTAGTTAATAATTAGCTAAACTTGTCCAGTTGATATAAAATCAATCTGATCACATATATCATGTCTGGCAATGAAGGGTGGCCTAAACTTACTTCTCAGCAACAGCTTGCAGGATGGGATATGCAATAGTGTGATCGCCACCTGCAGACAACAAAGACTTTAAGGACCTTTGATCGAACATAAACTACAGCTGATAAGGTTATTTAAATAGATAATAGTCGTAAAGACAATGCAGGGTTTGTTTGATAAGACATTATGTAAACTTCTTCTTCACTCTCACCCATAGTCAGAGGAATACAGCCAGTAGCCAGGATCTTCCTGTAGGCCTCTCTGATGCGTTTGCAGGTGTCCTTCAGGTCATACACATTCACATTGACGTCCCCGATATCAGCCACCATGAGGGACTCATAAGGCGCCGCCCTGGTGCCGCTGTTATAAGCTCTCAGCATGGCAGATTCTACCCTGATCTGCCTCGGACCAAACCTGCAGCGGTAGATGGAAGATCAGGTGTTTAATGTCAAAGCTGTGAAGCAAAGTGGACTGTTATTATTACAGTTTTTCTCGATTGTTTACACACATTTTCTGAAAGCATGCCTCATACTCTCAGAACTCTACACACAAATCAAAAAACACACACACAATGGGCAAAACCCCCCAATTCTCCTGCAAAATGAAACTTTACATTCAAAACAATGTTATTTCTTCTCAAAATGGTATTTTGTTTTCAAATGACACACAAACCATCATATGAATAGACATTTATAAGAACCAGTTGAACACTGATGTGCTCAATCTAAAACACTATGATGAACACTTCTTCTCCATTCATCATAATTACTTGGGCCTTTTTTTTGTTCAGTGATACACTACAGACAGTACATACATAAGTGTGTTGTAAAATGTTTTAGAATATTGTTTTTATACTCAGAACACACAAATACACGGTAACAAATATATTTTATTTTTTCCACAAAAACAATGTACACAGTGTACATTCCAACCAACACAAAGTTGCACATACAGTGGTCTACATACAAAACAACAGAAGAATTTACTGTATACAGTTACAGTAAAAAACAAAAACAAAACTATGCTGCATCCTCTCTTCTGTTTCGGTCTGGACACAGCACCTCATCCACATCACAAGCAATGTTTTCCCTGGCCAAGCAGCGGGGGAAATATCGCCTAGCATGGCGAATCCAGCCATGAAAAGCATCAACTGCTATATCTCCACATGCGTCTACCATAGCTTGGAGAAGGGGTATACGCATTTGTGGATTTCGGTCATACACTTTCCATCTCCAGGCCAAAAACGTGGCTCGGAACTCATCAGAGATTACGGTCCTTGGCCTTCCTCGTCCTCATCCTCCCCGTCCTCCTCCTCTTACTCTCGCTCCTCTGGCTCTGCCTCTGTTTCCAATGTTGGCATCCATTGCTCCAAAACAGAAAAGCCCACCTGTTGCCCTTTTATGCTAAAGCTCTGATTGCTAATTGTAAAACTGTGTGACAGGTGTTTGCCCATGTGATGAGTCAGTGTGCATAGTAGGGCAATTAACTTTAGAATTTTGAATGACAGTGTGTTCTTTGTGAAAACAAGAGATTTTCTTCATGAAAATTGTGCCAAATGCAGAGAATTGTGTGTAGTGTTTTGAAAAAAATGTGTTTTAGAACTGCAATTTGAGTGTAAAGCAGGAACTGTGCTTGTAGTTTAGCAGAATTGGTTCAGGGTGTTGGTGCATGAGTTACATGTTGTGGTCATTGTGTCTCAAGTACCAGTATTTGTGTGTAAACAATTGAGAAAAACTGTAATAAAGCACATCTATTCAAGTACAACACTACAAACATGTTTGGGGAACCTCTTTGCACAAAACACCTTAAGTTTTCTCCTTAAGTTTTTTTTTTTACCTTGCTTTGGTTGCTAAGGTCTTTTGTGCAACAGTCTACGGATTACTTAAATATAAGACAAAGACAAGGATAAAACCATAAATACTTAAGTAAACATGTTAAGGAAATCTTAAGGAGAAGATTTCAGGGTGGTTTGTGCAAATGATTTTATTTTGAGAAAACCTTAACTAGGTCTTTGTGCAACCGCTGAACTTCAGTTTTTTTCATTTCATGACACTTTCACTGCACTAAGCTGAACAGGGATATATTCAGAGCTACAACAATTGGCCAATTAATCAAGTAATTGATAGACAGAAAATTAATTGCAACTATTTTGATAACTGAATAATTTTCGTAATTCTTTAAAAAAAAAAGCCAAAAAATTTGCTGGTTTCCTGCTTCTTAAATATGAGAATTTCATGATTTCCTTTGTCACAGATAATAATAAATAGCTTTGGATTTCATTTAATACTCTCAAGTTTTATTCCATATATTTAAACTTTCATTCTATATATTCCAACTTTTATTCTGTATATTCAAGTTCTATTCCATATATTTAAACTTTCATTCTATATATTCCAACTTTTATTCCGTATATTCAAGTTCCATTCCATATATTTAAACTTTCATTCTATATATTCCAACTTTTATTACGTATATTCAAACTTTCATTCTATATATTCCAACTTTTATTCCGTATATTCAAGTTCCATTCCATATATTTGAACTTTCATTCTATATATTTCACCTTTCATTCCATATATTCAAGTTTCATTCCATATAATCACACTATACTATGTATACCAATTTTCATTCCATATATTTACATTTCATTCTATATATCTAGACTACAATTCTATATATTCCAATTTTCATTCTATATATTCCAACTTTTATTCCGTATATTCAAGTTCCATTCCATATATTTAAACTTTCATTCTATATATTCCAACTTTTATTACGTATATTCAAGCTTCATTCCATATATTCAAACTTTCATTCTATATATTCCAACTTTTATTC